TATCTTGCATAAAAAACAATGGCCCTTCTGAAGGCAACTCTTTGCCTTTTCATCCACGGTTCAAGATGCTCCTTCATAAATGCTATGTATGCATCAGCAGTCATTTTGATGCCATCTGGTACTCTCCATGGGCCCACTAATGTGTTTCCAATAATACCACCCCAGATCATTATGCCTCCACTGCCTTGTTGGCGTCTCAAACACTGATGGCGATTCTGTCCGTTCAGTACCCAGCCTTTGCACCATCTATCTGGCCCATCAAGTGTTGCTCGAGTTTTGTCTGTGAACAAAACTTTAGAGAAGTCAATCTTCATATTGTCCTCGGCCCATTTCAATCAATTTTGAATGTGATTTCTCGTCAATGGAGGCTTCGATACAGGTTTTGACTGTTGTTGCTATTTCCCTCAGATACTGACACCGAGTACTTTTAGATACAGTAGGATCCCCAATATGATTGAAAAGCTCTTGACTAGTAAGTCCAGGTTTATTCGTGGCCTCTCGTTTAAGTTGTGACATGAGACGACATGAAATAACCCTCGGCTTGCCTTTATATGCCCTTTTGCATACTTGTGTAGGGTCGGCGGTGAATTTTTCACTGTTTGATGACACCTCACTATCATTTTAAAAATTTCTAGGGTAGATTTACTTTTTGATAGTTCCGAGGTAATAGTTTTCTTTTCAGCATCACTTAAACTGCTTTTACGGCCCATCTTTTCACTAAATTCTTATACTTTTATAATAATTTGGCACGCTCAAATCACCGTGCTGATAACAAATATGGCGCCAGTTTGTTTACATTGTGCAGATAAGTACGAAAATTTCAGTGATTGTGCAGATCAGTGTTGCCAACATTGTATGAATTGATTGGACGGTTTTTGAAATATTAGAAAAAAAGATAATAATTTGGCACGCAGTGTATATATAAAGATTTTGGAAGATTTTCCACAGTTGTTACAAGCCCTTCTATGTGTGTCAAGCCAAGTGGCTGGAGAAGCCATTGGAGTTAAATTATTGATGCCTTAAAGTGGCAATCAACTCCATCATTTAAATAAGGTGTTTATACACTGTAGCCTATGTGGAATGTTGGCAGTAAGGTCCCATATTCAGAGAAGTAGGCTCCTCTTGGGCAGATAGCCAACCTGGCTGTGTACCACACTGTCTTCAAAGAAGCATTTCAACATGATTGCACTCCTTGTCCTGGTCTCACCACATTAGATTGATGTTTATTGATTAATTTTTATTTACTATTAAGTTAGTAACTTAAGTTAAATTTCCATTTCCTACTCAGTTCATCTAGCTTCTCCCCTATTGGAAATTGGGTGATAGTTGCCTATTTACTGATATACAAAAGAGCCAGATCATGGTATAGGCAGATGATTTGACAATTATAATATATGTAAGGATGGATAAATAATCATTTTAAACATAATCAATTTTTTTGGTTTTCTTGTTGAGTTGGGCCACTCCATTATTTCTAAAACCTTATTGTTATCTGAATATTACAGAATAACCAAAATAAAGCTTTTTGACAATGTCAAATCAAGTAGAATTCTATAATTTTTAAATGATAATGGACGTTTTAAAAATATAGATAGTTTTTAAATCTATATGCACATAATTTTTATAAAATTTTATATAGAAAGAAAAATTGAAACTTTACATATTTATAAAAAGTTTAAAACAAAAACATTGTAAATTTATATTAATTCTGTGACTTCCATTGGTCTGTTTGTCCATCCCACACACCCTCTAAAATAGCCATACATTGACCAATCAAAACCAAATTTTGGGGAGAAGTGCAAACAGGTAAGGGGGTACAAAGTACAGTTGGTTTTACTAGAGTGCATAGCTTAGTACAATAAACTTTCATTCATTTTTTTGGAAAAATAAACGTTTTATTATTTAACATACAAAATACTCAATTCTCACTATTTTAAAAACAATTTAATGATTAAAATGAGAAATACTTATTTAATAAAAATGCAATATTATTACAATATCTTTTCTTTAAGTTTTTATATACAAAAATCCAGTTTCCAGTTTGCCCTGCATTTGCAAGCACTATAAACAAATCACAAGACTAAATGCTTCAAAAAGTTAAAAATTTGTCTCCAGAAAGAAATATTTACACATAGATAGTTGTATGTTGCATGCTCAAGAGTAAGAAATCCTAAAAATTATTCTTTGCTGTTAAAATATGGTGAGAACAAAAAAAAAATCAGTGCAATACTTAAAGAACTGCCATGACACTTTTCAAAGGGAATTTTAGTTTGTATTAAAACAAATATAATTTTTCTTGAAGTCAATATCAATAACAGACTTCATGGTCTGCAAAGAAAAAAAGAAGATCTAAGATTTTCCACAAATGTTTGGCAGATATGATGCTGATTCAACTCTATTTTGATGTCAATGTTTTTTGTATAAATGATCAAAATAAATATTTACTTGATTCAATTCTGTAATTTCTTTTTGCACTTGTTGCCTAATATAAAATGTGTTTTGTAGTCATACAAAATTATCCAGAAAAAATATAAAAAATAGAGATAATATTTGCTTCAATTCTTCATGAAAGCAATGTTTTGAGAGAGAGAGAGAGAGAGAGAGAGAGACCAATAGACATAAACGGAGAGAGAGAGTGAGACAAAGAGCAGGATGTAACAGAAAAAGGGAGAGAAGGATGGCAATAGACATAAACATAGTGGGAGAGAGAGAGAGAGGCAAAGAGCAATAGACATGAACAGAAAGTAAGTGAGAGAGAGAGAGAGAAAAAGTAATAGAGATGAACAGAGACAGGGAGAGAGAGAAATAGACATAAACAGAGAGAAAGATAGAGAGAGACAAAGTGCAATATACATGGACAGAGAGAGTCAGAGAAAGAATGACAGGAACAGTGAGAGGGAGAATGATAGATGAACAGGGAGAGGTTGATAGAGACAGTGCAACAGGCATGAACTGAGAGAGAGAGAGAGAAGAAGTGTGAGACAAAGAGCAATAGACAAACAAAAAGGGAGATAGAAAAAGACATGAACAGAGAGTGAGCAAGAGTGAGTCAAGGAGTAACAGACATGGAGAGTGAAAGAGGGCAATATACATGAGCAGAGTAAGAAAGAGAACAAGAGGACAATAGACATGAAGAGAGAGAGGAAGAGAGGCAACAGACATGTGTAGAGTGAGAGAAAAAGAGGGCAATAGACATGAGTAGAGAGAGAGAGAGAAAAAAAAAAGAGGGCAAAAGACATGAGTAGAGAGAGAGAGAGAGAGAAAGAGGGCAATAGACATGAGTAGAGAGAGAGAGAAAAGAGGGAAAATTTTGAGTAGAGAGAGAGAGAGAGAAAACAGGGCAATAGACATAGAGAGAGAGAGAGAGAAAAGAGGGCAAAAGAGAGAGAGAGAGAGAGAGAGAGAGAGAAAAGAGGGCAATAGACATATTTAGAGAGAGAGAAAAGAGGGCAATAGGGAAAAGAGAGAGAGAGAGAGAGAGACAGAAAAAAGAGGGCAAAAGAGCTAGTAGAGAGAGAGAAAAAAGAGGCAAAAGAGAGAGAGAAAGAGAAAAGAGGGAAAAAGACATGAGTAGAAAGAGAGGGAGAGAGAGAGAGAGAGAGAAAGAGGGCAATAGACATGAGTAGAGAGAGAGAGAAAAAGAGGGCAAAAAGTAGAGGAGAGAGAGAAGACAGAAAGAGGGGTTAGACAGAGAGAGAGAAGAGAAAGAGGGCATGAGAGAGAGAGAAAACAGGCAGAGAGAGAAAGAGAGAGAGAAAAAAAAACAAAAAAGGACATGAGTAGAGAGAGAGAGAAAAAAGACATTTAAAAAAGACATGATTAAAAGAAGAGAGAGAAAAAAGAGGGCAAAAGACATGAGTAGAGAGAGAGAGAGAGGTAGGGAGAGAGAGTAGAGAGAGAAGAAAAAAGTTCCAGCAAAAGACATGAGTAGAGAGAGAGAGAGAGAGAAAAAGAGGCAAAAGAAATGGAGTATAGAGAGAGAGAGAAAAAAAGAGGCAAAAAACTGAGAGAGAGAGAGAGAGAGAAAAAAAGATTCAAAGAGACATGAATAGAGAGAGAGAGAGAGAAAGAATTTGGAAAAAGACAGAAAAAGAGAGACAGAAAAAAGAGGGCAAAGACATGAGTAGAGAGAGAAAAGAAAACAATAGACATGAGAGAGAGAGAGAGAGAGACAATAGACATGAGCAGAGAGAGAGGGACTTTTGAGCAGAGAGAGAGGCATAGGACATGAGAGAGAGAGAGGGCAATAGACATGAGCAGAGAGAGAGAGAGGGCAATAGACGTGAGCAGAGAGAGAATGACAGAGTCATATACATGAGCAAAGAGAGAAAGAAAAAGGGCAATAGACATGAGTAGTGAGAGAAAGAGGGCAACAGATATGAGCAGAGAGAAAGAGGGCAACATGCATGAGCAGAGAGAAAGAGGGCAACATGCATGAGCAGAGACAAAGAGGGCAACAGGCATGAACAGAGAAAGTGAGAAAGAGGGCAATAGACATGAATAGAGAGAGAGAGTGAAAGAGGGCAATAGACATGAGCAGAGAGAAAGAGGACAATAGTTATGAGCAGAGAGAGAAAGAGAGCAACAGACAGAGAGAGAGAGAAAGAGGACAATAGACATGAGCAGAAAGAGAGTGAGAAAAAGAGAGCAATAAACATGAATAGAAAGAGCGAGAGGAAGAATAGACATGAGCAGAAAGAGAAAGCGAGCAACAGACATGAACTGAGAGAGGGAGAGAAAGAGAAAAGAAAAGGAATAAATTTACAAAACTCATAAGGCTCCAGTCACAAAAGATCTTTGATGACTTCATGCACTGTAAAGTATTTTTTAGAAAAGTTTGTTATCACTCTCAGACAAATGCCTTAAAACTTACCCAGACCCCACATGTGTTTGTGTGCCTCTCTCTTTCTTTCTCTCTATGCAGATTCATAGCCATTTTAGTCGCCATTTTATAAACAATCAACAAAAGCAATTTAAAAATTAATTCATTTTTTACTTACCCATATCTGTAGTTTTACCCGTTTATCTTGCCTAAACACTGTCTTGACTTTGAAATCTATTCCCACTGTGCTAACAAAAGCAGACGTGAAGGAATCATCAGCGTATCGGAATAAAAATGAGGTTTTGCCAACACTACTGTTGCCAATGATAAGCAGCTTGAACATGTAATCAAAATTCTGGTCAGCTGCATCTTTCTGCCATTTGGAGTCATTTGCTGATGCCATCTGCAACAAGAAAGACATTTAGTAACATTAGATGACTTTTTTTTAAATCAGCAAAACAATCATTTTAAACATTTTTCACATCAAAAGAAAAAATTGTGCTTCAAAAACATACTCGGTCATTGAAGCATCACATATCTTTCTAGCATGGAGTCATTTTAATACTTTTGATAATTGCATGGTAACAAAAAAACATTTGGAAACAAGCAAAAATATAAAAAAAAATACAACTTTGAATCTGCAATCTAAATTGATACAAATTCCAATGTACACACCTTAAAAAATTGATTATCATTATTACTGTTGTGTCTCGAGTTTGACTAAAGTTGCATATCTATCAAGTCACAAAATCATCTCTGCTTACTAACTTCAACATTTCCTCTATAACCTGAACAAACCTTGAACCTTATTCCAAAAACAAAACTGAATACTCTAGGCAAAAAAAAAACCTAATTTCAAGGAACTCTGATCAAATATTGATTTCTTTTTTTTTATTTATCCAATTTTTTTCTGAATGAAACAAACTTTAAAAGAATCCACAAATAGAATCCTTCTTCCAACTGACTTGATAAATTTTAACTTGAAAAATTAAACCTTGAATTAATTTTGAATCCCAAAAAATTCACAATCAAAATATGAATCTAAAATTATGAAAAATAAACAGGACTGAATAGAAAGAAAGATTTAGTTTGAGACATAAATGATCAGGAATGACGATCAAAATATTTCAGGGCTTATCTGGGAATGGCGTAAATAAAAGTTGTATTATTTAATTCTTATGGCAATATATCCAGACGATTAAACACTTCATTTGAATATAAATGTCTGCATCCACATAAGGTGAGAGATGTTAGAGTGGTTAAAGCAATGAACTGCTCTGTTTCTGAATCAAATCATTGAGTTCTTAGTAAGCTAAAAGAAAGATTAAATCTGTTAGGCATGAAATTATGGTCAGGGGAAAAAAATGTGTTCACACAATCCTTATAAGAATGGCTTGTGATGAAAAGGGATTTTTTGTTGCTGTTACTAGTCCAATGGTTTACATTTTCCTCTTAAATAAATCATGATGCTTCAAGCAGGTAGCGTTCTTCTCTTTAGATTCCAAGGAAAATGTCCAAGAGAAGATGGCTTCAATCTGTTGCAGTGACTATTATTAGAAGACAGGAAGAAACAAGAATAAATCATCAGAAGAAAATGAGAAGATCAAATTGAAAATTTGTCAAGCAATAGAAAAAAATAGCCAAAACAAAATGGATGGTGCAAGTAGAAATTTAAGAGAGCAAAGCATGCATAGACATGAAGAACTGCCTTTGAGAAAAGCAACCATATGAGAGAAGAAGCTGTCAATGGAGTATAAACTCAAACACAGACTCACCATTTTATAGACTTCCATTCTAAAGAGAGACGGAGAATGGGTGGTGGTGGTGATGTGGTGGTGGTGGTTGTTGTTGGTGTTGGTGGTGGAGCAAAATATTAAAGCCAAAGGAAGGTTGTATCTGCGTGGGTACCAGGATGTTTTTTTTAACTACAGTTGATCCTTCTCTGCAACAACAGCAGCAACAACAGCAGCAGTTCTACACTACAAAGGAAGGGGGCGCCCAAATCATGTGGGGGTAATTATAAACACAAAAGCCACACAAAGGGGGGCAAGGCTCGAGGAAGTCAAAGGAAGAAGAGTTGATATTTATGCAGTAACCAACCCCAAATATCACTGCATAACATGAAACTCTTTAATTAAGTTTCATATTTTTTTTAGAAGCTAATTAAAGTTTCTCATTAATTTTTAACACAGAAAAGATAAAGAATATTGTTCTGATTGCTTTATATAATATTCTTCAGTATATAGTCATCTTCTTCTATGTGCCATGTTTCTTCAGGACACTGGTGATCATAGCTCTCCACAATTTCCTGTCCTTTGTAGCTCGTAATAAATTTTGTCTTTTTGTTCAGTACTGATGTCAAAAAGAACATTTTCCATATAAACTGCTTTTTAAAAAAATGCAGTCAAGAAAATTCAAAAATTATTTCATTAATGAAAAAAAAAAAATATTCTTTTCAGATTAAATGACTTTCCCTTGAAAATATTATGAGTATGAGACGAAAATATTCTCTTGATTGCATGCAAATCTCTTGATGCTGTTAAATGCAAACTACAGAAAATCAATTTATGAACAATGCAAATAACACCAATGTAATTGGAAAAATGACAAAAGTATTTTCCAAAAAACTTATGACCATTTGAACCGACACTGACCCTCATGAGTAGAGGAGGACCCAGAAGAATGGAAGAGGAGAAATGCGCATGTGTATGAAACAATGTGAAATATGTAAACCTTAAAATAAGTGAAATAAATAAAAATAAAAACGGAGTTGGAATTATAACTTAAATTCTTTAATGTCAAAAAAAAAAAAAATTTCTAAAGTAAAAATCAAGCATTAAAATGCTTAATAGGAGTCACATTTTACCTCACTAATGGAGAGTTTGTTGAAACAAAATTCTTCTTCTGAGGAAGTAAAATATGTCAAATAGAAATTTTCCTAAATGTTTTATTTTAAAACAGATACATCTTTAAAAAAAGTCAATAGATTTAGCTCACCCCTGATGTGCGGATTTATATCTACGAAAGTGAATTGGAAGATAAGTCTTTGATTTGATTTATTTATTCATTCATATATATATATATATATATATATATATATATATATGTGTGTGTGTGTGTGTGTGTGTGTGTAAAAATTTCAAATATAATATATCTGTAAAAAGAGAATATACAAACTTACCTTAGCTAATGCATTTCATCATCTGTGGGACTTTATCTAGGAAAATAGAAAGATTTTTATTTCTTAACAAGTATTATATATATAAATACTTGTTACAAAAATAAAATCATTGTATTTGCTTTGATAAAGTCCCAGAGAGGACGAGATGTGTTGGGTAAGATAAGTTTTCCTTTTGTCTTTATTATTCATATTTTAAAATTTGCCATATTTATGGGGGAAGAGTATTTAATGTCAGAGATACAGTGTTTGTGTACACACACACACATTATTATATATATATATATATATATATATATATATATATATATGAGAGAGAGAGAGATATTAAAAATGAAACAGCAGTTGATTGTCTATATTTTGTTGTGATCACTGCTTGCATTCCAAAACAAAGTAGATGCAAACACATGTCTCCATTGAAATATATTTTATTGTGTAACAGTTCAAGGCTGAGTCTTTTCACATTTAATTTTTCAGAAAAAGTATTTGACAAGGGATCAATTTTAAAAGCCAAACATGAAGGCTTTTAAAACTAAACACTGTTTGCAGTTGGTGGCTCAAGTAGTTGAACTTGAGACATTAAAGCAAAAACGGACAAATGTGTCGGTGAAGGAGTCAAATTCCTTATTTTTATGTGCCGGGTCCTTTCAGGATGTAGGAAATCATGGCTCTCCACTTTTTCCAATCCCTTGTAGCTCTCAATAAGTTTTGTGGCTTTGCCATCTCCCCCAGACTACGTTCTGTCATCCACATGCTTAAGCCCACCAGGTATGTCATGCGTTGCTTTCCCTCATCTCTTTTTCCCCCCTCTATTCAACCTGTGAGTATCAGATTCTCCAGGCCCTCCTTTCTCCTTACGAGTCCCAGAAATTTCATCTGCCTCTTCCTTATGTTAAGTATAAACTTCCTACTTGTTTGCATCATGAGTCAAATAGCAGACAAAAACATAGAAGGAAAAAAATTAATTTTTAGAAAAATGCTCAGGCCTCGAAAAAGAATTCAACAAGAGACTAATTTTTTGTTTCTTTTTACTCTTATATGTAGAATGTTTTGCTTAGAGTAAAAATGGATTTTGTATTTACTGTATAATTTGTAAGCAATTTATAAGAAAGATATTTCTCTTCCCACATAAATATTAGCAGAACATTCATCATAAATAGAATAAACAAAAAAGTGACATCCTTTGAAGCTCCACAACTTAAACCAACATTATATATATATATATATATATATATATATATACACACACACACACAAATGAGAGAAAGAACAGATGGAGTAAAATTTGTAGCATTTACTTTTAAAAAAAAGGCTCAATACAAAGTAGAGTAATATATTATTATTATTATTATAAGAGATTATAATAAAAACATGTTGAAATTACTACACAAAAGCTTTCATGTTTCAATACTACGATTGTACTTCTTCAGGCGATGGTAACTGTGATCACCAGTTATTTACCATCACCTGAAGAAGTACAATCATAGTATTGAAAATTGAAAGCATTTGTGTAGCGATTTCAACATGTTTTTATTATAATCTCTTATAATATTTCTAAAGACTCAACAATAAAAAGAAAATTAGAGTTTAACTATTGAAGAATAACAATGCTGTCAAAAAAAATAACAGCTGGAGTCAATTAAACAGATGACTTGCATGAATTATGAGCAATGAAAATATTGAAAGAAAATGGAATTTATGAACAAAAAACATTTTGTTGTCTCCATCTCCATGTTAATGAGTTACAAAAAGTTGAAAATTCATCTCCCAAATAGTTTTAACTTTTGTGAAATGAACAAAAATCTTTATTACTAGCCTTCATTTTTGCTGTTGGGTTTTCTCTTTATTTAAAAAAGGAATCCAAAAATCATGACATCAAGGAAGATGAATTCAACTGAAAATAAATGGTACAGACAACAATGTCAAAAGAAATTGCATTCTTGACCAACATTTTTATTCATTTAACATTTGCTGCTTTCTTCACACCAAAAGTCAGGCTTCTTTTATATTTTTTTCCTTTCAAAACAGATTTCAGTTCAACAGGGATTGACTTCAGTGTAGGAATTTTATTGTGGAATCAACATAAAGTTCTCATTTATTTTTTGCCTTTTTATCATTGAAATTTCTGAATTGCAACATGAATCAAGTCAGACATGGAAATTCTAATGGGGGCAATAAAGAAAAAAAAGCCAATGCATGTCAAAAAAAACTTCCATTTGAAAACTCAAGGTTATCACAGCAAT